CGATTTGTTCTTCTTACTTGCTCTCTATATTAAAATACAGACATTTTTACCTATGTTCTACATGACACAAAAATATATTAAATTTTGGGGCTGGGGGTTTAGCTTAGTGGTTCCACCACCTGCCTTGCAAGCACAAGGACCTGAGTTCAATCCCGGTACCAAAAAATATATATATATATATTTTAGTTTTGTTCCTGGGTAGTAAGTAAAAGTATATAAAGTTTCACTTTTTTCAGCCTCTATATAGGATATAAAATTAATAGTTTCAGAAATGATCAATTTATCCTAGCACATCTGGTCTGAGAAAGATTCAAAAACAGTTCTTACTTTAATGAACACAAAACTAGAGCAAAACAACTATCATGGTAACTACATTTTACTCACAGATTTTTTTTTCCACATTGGACAATAATATAGCATCTCCTATTTTAATGTATGATTCTTCAAGTTTCCACATCCTAAATGTTAGGATGGCTTTTGCTAGGTCTGAATGACTATAAAGGGCTTTGAGATAACCTTGATAAAAATATATACACATAGCAACTGTCCTTATAAATCTTGTGATATAGCAAGAGGAGGGAAGATGTAGGTACCAGGTATCGCAAAGCACCCAATGATTGAAAAATATGGTTAATTTTTTTTAATTCATTACAGCAAAAGATACATTGCCACTGATCGCCTCAAAATATTTCCCCTCACTTCAAACAGACTTAAACCATCATTCCTGCTATTTTCTGAAACAGTACCAGAAGTTCTGTTACTAGTTGTGATAAAAAATGCAGTGCACACTGCTCCTAAGTGCCATGCAATGGAAAAGCAGGTTCATAAAAATATTTCCATGTGTCATCCACCTTATTCACCAGGTCTCATGCTTCCTCAAAGTCAAAGTGATCATGAAAATTAAACATTTTGAATCAATTCAGGGAGCTGAGGCCACCATGACAGTGCAACTAAAGACACTCCCAAAAGAGGACTTCCAGAACGGCTTCAGGAAGTGGCGAGAACAACAGGGTAAGTGTGCTCAAGGCAACGGGGAGCATTTTTGAGAGGTATTAAGGACAATGTGTCTTTTACTATATATATTTTTAAAATTTCAACATTCACCACATTTTCAATCATCCCTTGTATATTTCTAATCCCGCCTCCTGTCACGCCAGCATGCCTTTGAGATCACTTCTACAGGCAGCTCTGTGAATTAGTCTGATCAGCATTTGGTAATTCAGTGGCCATCAATACAGTCCAGTTTCTTTCCCTTTGTCATTCTCTCAATATTAATTAAATGTATCAGATGCTGTGGTAAGCTTTTTCTTAAGGGTATGAATTAACGTGGCACGTGAGTTTACAGCAGGGCAGATATCAAGTCATACTATGTAGGTGACTATATTGACTAAATCAGATGTATCTGCAAGAACACAGTAAATGCTACATACAAGCAGAAGCAAAATGCTGTGGATTCTAGTGTAATAATATCACTATCGTGAAAATGTTATCAAATACAAAAGTAGCCTTAGAAACACCTTTTTCACAGGACATGAGGGATACTAAGAATTCTTTGGTTTAAGGTTTTGTTTTAAGAAAAAAATGAAAGACCATAAACTGCTAACATGAGCTGGAGACTTGGAAAAAAAGGATGGATAATTTGATACCAAATTAGATAGTAAATCAAAGTGGAAAGTCCATTACAAAAAGGGTTATGTACCCAAACATTTCCCATAAAGTTTCTGTGAGGCTTACACAGCTGGTACATTAAAAATCCCCAGACTTTACCTGCCTCTGCTGCTACTGCTATTACTACTTGTGCTGAGCTGTCAACGAAATAAAAAAGAAAAAGCTAAAGTACCAAAGCAGCTGCCTGCCTAAAGAGAAACTCTGAGAGAAGGCATCTCTGTTCTTCTCCTGAGAATAGGTTATTTTTCATTTCCCCAAAGTCTTGAATCACTTCAGGGAAAGCTGGGCAGTATGGTAACAGTAAGTTCTGTCATTACGACTAAAAACAGGTCACGCTGCTGGCTACACTTCCCTGCCATCGAGAAGAAAGAAGCAGCAAACAGAAGGGCAACAGCAGCAAAGCCTGGAGACCTACAAGGAAGGGCGCTACGATCTACATTTTGGCCCTTCCCTCTAAACAACTGGAGTGCAAGTTACTGGAAAATCACTTGCCAGGAAAACTTCCATTGCAAGATGCCACAGCCAGTCTGCCAGATAAAACAGAACCATTTCTACTAACACAGGGGACATGACAGAGACACTGCCAGTCCCTCATAGAAATCTTTAAATCTGTGCAATACTACCTACGAAACTAAGTTATTTTCCAGAGTATTCAAAAATGTGTTGTGTTCAGAAATATCAATTTAATGCCTAGGAAACAAGTCCAAATAGAAAATAGATCAGATAAAGATCATAATTATACCATACTGGCTGTATCAAGTTTTATATTAACAGCTAACGCCATTTCACATTACAAAAACATAGTTAATAATAATGTATCTCTAAGAGCTCAGTGGTGCTGCAGCCTGCCTCGAAAGAGCAAAGTCCCAAGTTCAATCCATGGTGTCCAAACAACAACAATACCAAAATAATAATAATACTAATGTATCGCCAAAGATAGTTATCCAGGATACATGAAAGAATTTAAAACCTCTCTATTAAACAATGAACAACAAAAATAAAGGAGAAGCATGCCATATCTTAACATGAAGACTGAAGACGTTTCAATCTTAAAGCTAGGGTCTGTCACCTCCATAGTCCTAAAAAAGAATGGAGATTTCCAACAACAACTGTCCTTCCTACAAGGAATCTATTCCTTTTAATGACACAATTTTGTAAGTGGCAAAGCTAAGATATAGAAAGAACTCAGATAACTGACGAGCCCCTCTGGGCGGCTTCTTCTAGAACTATCAAGATTCCCTAGTATTTAAATCAGTTTTGTATTTGTATCCCAAAACATCCTAATTTATATATTTTTGTTTCCAAAGACTACTACTGTGTCAGAATTTCATCCGTGCTCATTTAAAGGTTGGCAAAATAATTCTTACTTCAAACAAGCCAATGTATCTATCAGTCTCATTAGATTATTGATGGTTATTTGGATTACTCCAATTAATTTTTAAATAATTTCATTGTATCTTCCCATTTACAATAAAGAAAAAAGTCGATAAAATATTACAGAAACATTAAACTTTCAATTTGATGTAAAATTTTACTTTTATAGCCCTCTAAGTTACAGATAGCAGTACTTTTTAGAGTATAAAAATATAAACTGTCAAACCCTAATATATTCATTATGTTCATATTAAATTACAACCAAAAGAAGAAAGGCTAACATTTTTTACATGGTTGAATTTATTTGTTTTTTTTTTTTTAACAACAACCTAGAAACAAAATTGTTTATTTTATTCCCAACTTTACCAGGGTAGATAAACTATTAAAACATGAATGAAGATGTTTCTAGTAAGTGGCAATTTAAAGAATAGCAGCAAAAAGACAGGAAGGTAAAAAAATCAGAAAAGACTCATACTAGGATGAAATACTAGAATGAAAAGTGGAAACAGGCACAGGAAAGAAGGAGGGAGTAAACCAAAAGTCTCAAATATCTTTATGACATGGTTACAATCTCTCTGACAGATGCAGAGACCATGTATCGGCGTATAAAGGGCAGACTGACCCCTTTATCAAGATCACTTCATGATTTAAAAATCATCCATCTAAAATTACAGAGATTCCATGTTTTCCAAATTAATTGATCCTGCTTTACAAACCCATTAGGCGGTTATTATTTCACACATCTCAGGTAATGGTATAATAGGTATTTTTAAGATCAACTCATACCACAAATATACTATAGATTTAAGTGGAAGCTGAGAAATAATATATCCATTCGGCATAATGTATCCATTCTGTGAAGAGGATTTGGTTAGGTTGGGGAGAATGCAAACGGACAAACTTTACTGTACAACAAAGTCAACCTGTTTAATGGAAGAGGCCCTGGAAGGAGGCTTAAGATTTCTTCTTGCCAGTAGACAAACCTGATCACAGCTGAAGTTGAACCAGGCCAGAAGAACCCGCAGGCAGAGTTGGTGGAGCCAAGAATGTGTGCGACTTCCTACCTAAAATTAGCCATGCCTATTTCACCACAACTGGGTTGGGCTCTTCTATTTTAAGGTGTTTGGTTCCAAATTACTTAAGAGTATATAATTGCTAGCTGGATTCTAGGCCTAAGAGTGTCAGTAGACTTTCCATCAAGGCTTTAGGACAGACCAACTAATAGTCTCCACAGAATCCCAGAGTTAATCACCATGCTATCTAGGGTCTCAGTACACTGTAAATAAAGTCATACACCGAGATATCCATGAAGATACATCTCATACACGGACACATGAAAGAGCTATTCCTCATCCCTGAAGAGAACACACATATGTACAATATGGGGAGAGGGGCTGACAAAAGTCCCAGTACTAAAGTATGCTTGACCTTTCAGGAAATCATACAGAACTGGCAGCTGAAACCTCCCAGGCAATGTCACATCGAAAGTGCTAGGCCGCTGGAGTAAATTCAACAGAAGGGGCTGCTCAGTCTCTCTTCTGCGTTCCAGAAACAGTAGAAGGGAACTGGTGAAAGCACCACTGGTGCTGGCAGAGAATTTACACTCATGTTTAAGAGGGGAAACTAAATTCTCAAGCTCAAATGAAAGCAAATGAAAAGACATGCCATTTCACCATAGCAAACGTTAACTTCAACAAAGGATAAAAGTGAGTCCTAAGTTATACAGGCTTAACACACACTTAAAATTCAAGCTGTACAGATAACATTCAGGATTTCTACAACCCCAGGGCAAAGTCGTAGGTGTGTATTTTACTACAAGCAACTTGAGACGCTCTATGCAGAATACACATTTACCACTATCATTTCCCTGATACTATCAAGCTTCAGCCATCCACAATATTAATAGTTGTTTAATAGACTCAGTCAATGTATTTTAAGACTCTAAAGAACATACATACCTTCCTTTTCAGAGGCGTGACATTTCACTTTCAATACCAAGTCAAAGGTTCTCTCTGGATTTTCTCTAAAGAAAAAGAAAAATTTAGTTACCTTTATTTCCTATGACAAATAAGCATCTCTACAAAGCTTACCGACAAATATATAGCTTATTGTTGTTGTTTTTAGCAGAGCTGGGGATTGAACTGGGGACTCATGCATACTAGGCAAGTGTTCTATACTAAGTTTGACCTCCAGCCCCTATATTTTCTTAATTCTAAAATTAATGTTCTTTTCTCAATACATCCCATGTAACTATGACTACAGTACAGCAGAAATAACAATGGAAGGGTTTTATCAGCTTAGCAATTTAAGAGAGCTGAAACTTAAGAGTTAAACAAAGCATTTAACTTCTGCAACTGTGTTCTCATCTATAAAGTACTACTTTATCCACTTCACAGAATAATTACACACATCAAATAATATATGTGCAAGTATTTCTTAAAGTATTACATGTGATATCAATGTAAACAGTGCTTTCATCTTATTGAATCAAAATAGGAAAGCCAGTAAATCCCCAAGTGCCTTTTTACCCTGTAACAGCCTAACACTGGTTTTTCAAACTTCTTCACAGGATTCACAATAAAGGTAAACTATGAAAACGTGGTTCTACCTGCCATGCCTTGGACCGCTATATGACATTTATAATGTGGCATGATTTTTTTCATAGTTTCCTTGAGATCTATTTAATGCATTTAAGCATGTTTTAAGTAACAAACCGTTTGCACACCATAAGGCCAACAAAAAAAGATTTACTTAACACCAACATCTTTGGGGAAATTAGACATCTGCCTCCACATTACCTTTTCCCACTAGCAACAGTAAGATTTCTTTGCTTCTTCAATCAAGTTATTGACTTTTTACTAACTTCCCACACAATCTATTCCTTGGCTGAATTTCAAAAAGTGAGCAGAAAGCCATTTAAAAACTTTTTTTCAAAACATCGCTCTGTTTTAGGCCAGGGATTTACCTCAGTCGTTCCAGCACCTGCCTCGCAAGTACAAGGACCTGAGTTCGATCCCTAGTACAAAAAAAACCAAAAAACAAAAACAACAACAGCAACAAAAAAAACCGTAGCTCTCTTTTAATCTCTTTGCATCAGAAGATACAAGACTAAACAAAGCCTGACACCACAGTGCCAAAGTGCTAACATCCATATCCCAGGTACTATACACCACCTCTAAGTAAGACCTTAGTGTCTCTGTACATTGGTTAGTTTTTTAAAGATGTACATCTTTCAAGAAATTCATTTAGCTCAGTGGTTCCCCTGCCTGCCTCGCAAGCACAAGGTCCGGAGTTCAATCCCCAGTACCAAAAAAAGAAAAAGAAAAAAAAAAAGAAAGAAATCATACCAGCTCTGACTTCTAACTAAACATTGATTTTTTTAAAAAAACGTATTACAAGATATACATCTAGAAACAGAGGGAAATGACAAGCCATATAAATTAATTTGCATATGCTTGCCCCTCCCATTATTAACTTGTTTCACTAGGAATCAGGTGACTTCTTCCCTCATAATACAATTAACGTCAAAAATATCCCTTTTTATTCATTCTGCTCACCATGGTGTGAAACAGAAGAAAATAATTCTAAATTACACATTTTTCTCATTTTCCTAATAGTCTCTGGAATCTCTCTTGGGTATAAAAATTAAACACCGGATCAGTTACAGTTCTATGTTGAAAAGTGCTTCCACAGAATACAAATGCACATGACATTATTTTAAATGAGGGGGGTAGATCTGAAGGAGAGGGGTTAGAGAAGAAAGAAGGAATTCTTTCCAAAGTAAGTTTCAGAAGAAAAATACAGAACACACGGCTCTAAGATACCTGGAAGCAAAATCACCACCATTATTCAAGCTGCTTTTTACCTATCTCCTGAAGTAAAGCAGCCTTTGACAAATACTTTAGCACACACAAAAAATACCGTCTAACTGGCCACCGATCTGCAAGCACTATACTTAGGCACGGTGCCTGTGTAAACAGACAGACGAGATCATTTTAACCCTGTAGGAAGGAATAGCAGAAGACAACATCTAAGTCAGAACTGAGAAATACACAGGGAAAAAAAGGAACGGTAATCTTCATGCCAGGAGAGCACTTCAAATAATAACCGCTTTCCCTCGGCGCCGACTCGCGCCCTCAGGGGCGCCCCACAGACAGACAGGAGGACGCGCGAGTCTGACACCGGGGAAGAAGCCGAAAACCGCAGCGGGAGGCGCGGGC